TTTTCAGAAACTGCCATATTGTTTTCCAGAGTGCTTTGACCATTTTGCATTCCCACCATCAGTGAATAAGAGTTCTAGTTTCTCCACATCCTTGCTTGCCGAAACTTGGTATGGTCAGTCTATTTAATTTTAGTCATTCTAATAGGTATGTAATGAGATTGCTTCATCAACGACACACACATGGCAAATAAGCACACAAAAAGATGCTCAACGTTATTAGTTTTTCGGATCTAGTTATAAATTTAATACATAGCACAATTTGTCTCTCCCTTTCTACTGAAAAAGTACAGAGTCCCATTCTCATGCAGCCCAGCTTGCCTGACAGCAACACAAGAGACATTGAAAAGGTAGACTGTATTTGACAATTGTGAAATACGTGTGTGCATATCAAGCAAGCACTAGCCAACTTGGTGATAAAATCTGAATTTCATCTTTAACATGTTTTCCACTCACACTTAAATTGATTTATGTAAGGTTAATTGATTTTATAGATTATTTAAAAACATATTCTTAACTTCACATAACTTTTTTACCTCCCATGTTATCATTTTGCAAAAACTGTTATGATCATCTCACCTGGTGAATTTGAGTGAAGAGGGACAACAGGTCTAGAATAGTGAGGCAAACCTCTGTAGCTGTGTTGGCCTCAGTATCCACATGGTGCACGATGTCGATTTCATTGGAGTTGCCTACAAAATACAAAGTAAGACATGCATAAATGTCTAAGACAATTCTTCGTACCCTATAAAGGATTTACTTCCATTACGATATATTCAGCGTTTACTGGTATTTTGATTAATAATTTATTAAACCAAAGTGCTTTTGTTTGTTCCACTTCCTTATTGGCTGAATGAAAAACACTAGCCTGAGTCTTTAGTGTGTGAGCCCTTTGCATAGGTCAGCTGTAGGGTTTCCATTATTTCTTTCATTTTTTCCTTCGATTCAGCCATCAATACGGTCATATTTCTTCCATAATCAGGCTATTTCAAGTTCTGTGCTTCCAGACTGATAGACCAAATGTACAGTCTCAGTGGACAGTCTTTGCACTCCCTTGGAAAGGCACTAAGTGTTTTTATAGGTTAAGGCATATACCTTCAAACAAGTAACTGTAGGCCACGTGACCATAATTGCTAACAACTACATACTACAAAACACAGGTCTTCATTTTTTTCTCATTCACAAACTGGAATGTGTGCCTCTCTGGATTCAAGAGGTCACCCTTACTGCTCTGGGACATGGACAACTTTATCCTTTTCTTACAGAATGAACAGTAATAACCTGGTTGAGAGAAGCCCCAATAACCCACACAATACCAAAGTTCACTTGTTTCCAGGGAAGCTATGCTAAGCATATGATATTGAGAGTTTTGCCTTTCCCCACAAGGAAGGGCACTACATTTTTTTAACCACTCCCTGGTGATCCTTTCCTCTAAGAACCATTCCTGGGACTACAGCAGATCTTAAAGGCAGTGGTTGCACTGGCATGACATTGCTCACATTTCTCAAACACTGCAATGCCTGTCATGTCCTACTCATACCCAGAGAAAAACCAGTAACCAATCTTGTTCCTGTTATTTCTGGTTTACTTACTGGTCATGGTATTGTCCAACATCTGTAAGAGTTTGGGGTTAGAAAGTGCATTTTTGCCTCGAATTATAGGTAAAGTTTGTGATCTGTGCTGCTTCTGACCTTCGTGACTGGAAGCGGTGTGCATCCTGAAAATTAAATAAGAAACGTGGTTAAACATTTGGGGATGTTACATCCAAATGTTCTAGATTGAGTCAAATATTTAAAAAAAACTGGAATAGAGACTTTTTATTAAAAATATTAAATATAGGCAACATGATGAAAGGGATTTTTTAAAGTACTTTTGGA